GTCTATAGCCCAGATTGATCTCGAACTCAAGGCCATCCTCCTACCTCAGCCTACCAAGTGCTGGGATTGCAGGCGCCCACTGTCTGGCTCCAAGTACTCATTTCTTCTGTGTGTAGGACATTTTCCCTCCCTGGCCTGTCTGCAGGAAAAGAGACCCAGTGACACCTTCACAGTAACAAACACAGCCAGGCTGGTCTGGCTTTCTCAGTCCCAGTCCTTTGCTTCTTCCATCTCTTCGGACAGGCAGCTGAGTCTAAGCTGGCAGGAAACACACGAGAGTGTCCCGCTCAGATCACTGGGAAGCTGGGATGTGCCTGACAGCAGTGGGGATGAGGAGCTGGCAGGAAGGGATCTGCTGGCCACAGCAGGGGCCATGTGAGCATAGAATAAATAAGCGTAGCGATGGGCTGCAACCCATCAATGAAAATATTTAACTGTGAGTCCAAGTTGACATATATAAAGGAAGCAAGACATGTCAGGGGAAAAAACCTGGCTCACACAGACCCACTCAGTTCCCATCCCTCATGGCAGGGTACTGCCCGCCATCCTCCCTTGCTAATGTCTCCTTTTTCTTCCCAGGGAGAACTCTGGCTCCAAACAGCATTGTTATATTTGTCTGCTTACCCTCTATCCTACAGTGTTCACAAAATAATTTAGGGTTGATGCCTACACCAGTACAAACCCACTAAGGAAATGCCAACGTGTATTTGCAATTCTGTTTAACCTTAGGATATACACAGGGTAGTTGGTGCCCAACATTTGAAGCACAAGAGGAACTTTCTGAGATGGGTTTTGATGGATGAATAGGAGTCTCCCAGGAGAAGAAGCAGGAAAACAGTACCAAGCATGTGCAGTACCCAGAGAATGAAGTGGAAGTGTGGCAGGCCCTGCACATCCCAATCCAATAATCTGCATACAGTGAAGGGCAGTAGCAAAGGATGAGGGTGGGAACTCTGCCTGAAATGCCACGCGGAGAGCTTGGGACTGATGTTGCAGGCACAGGGAATTTCCAGAGACATCAGGATTTAGAAAACATGAAAGTTAGCTGGGCATGGTGGTGCACACCTGTATTTCCAGCACTCAGGAGGCTGAGGCAGGAGGATTGCCAAGTCTGAGGCCAGCCTGGATTACATAGGAAGACCCTGTTTCAAAAAAGAAAAGAAAAGAAAACAAAAACAACAGCAAAAAAACACAGCAAGAGCACAGAAGCAGTGCCTGGGCTGGCAGGATGGCTTTGCAGCATTTTGCCTCGGTTTTATTCTCTGTAATGTGGGTAAGAGGGGGCCTATTTCCGGGCTGCAGGGAGAGTCCCTGGGCTGCACCTGGCTGATAGGGTCTGAGGTCGGGCTGAGCAGCCTGCAAGCCCTCCCTGCTCTGTGACATGTCTCTGCTTCCTGTTTCTCTCCCATCAAGAGTAGTTTTCAGTCTCTGCTTCAAAAGAACAAACACACTCAAAACAAAGGAAGCCGGTGCTGCCTGCAGAGGAAGCAGGAAGCCGCCAGCCCTGGGCTCTGTGCTGAGCCTGGGTGCTGGAGCTCAGGGACAGCACTGGGACAGCGAGATGGAGTCCGTGGCCCTGTACAGCTTCCAGGCCACAGAGAGTGACGAGCTAGCTTTCAACAAGGGTGACACGCTCAAGGTACAGTGGACAGGGTGGGCTGGGCTGGCCCCAGGTGGAGTGGGTGAGAGCTGGGCCAGGACGCTCCCGGCAGGGCTGGGCATCTCTCTGGTCATGCAAGATGTGGCTGTGACTGTGCCAGCCAGTCTCTCTGAGCCTCTGCTCCTCACCTGGGCAATGGGGAGAGAGCCAGTAAGCGTTTCTTTGAGGGCT